TGTCCTCATATTGCTAGATAGGTTATTTCCAGTTTTTAGCATTTACAAATAATGTTGCAGTGAACATCCTTATAGAGAAGACCTTGCCCACCCATGGATATATGATTATTTCCTTTGAATAAACTCTTAGAATTTGAATGTCTTTGTCAAAATGTAGACAGGGTTTCAAAACTTTTGAGAAATCAGCCAAAGTGACCTTCGAAAAGTTACAAAAGCACTTTCATCTCCACCACCTTACTAACACTGGTTAGTTTTTCTTTCAAATTTTTGATTTAGAAATATTTTGGAAATTATAGGAAAGTTGAAAAATAATGCAGTGACTACCCACAGACTGTTCTAGATTCACTGTTAACCTTTTGTCATGTTTGCTTCCTCTCTCCTCCTCCCTCTCCCTCCCCCACCTCTCTCTCTGTCTTTGTCTCTGTCTCCCCTCCGCCCCCCTAACCCCCCCACCTACTCCCCCAACCCCCCCCCACCTGTCTCTGTTTCTCTTTCTGTCTCTCTCCCTCATCCCCTCTTCCTTGCGCCCTCTTTTCCCACATGCGCACACACATTTTTTGGAGGGGCTACTGGGAAGAACATTTGAAAGTAAGTTACGGACATTAAGACAGTTCACTCATGGGAACTTCAACATGCATCTCCCAAGAATAAGGACAGTGACACCATTATCACAACTAAGAAAATTTACGTGAATAATACCTGATATATAGTCTAGTTGGGAATATTCCCAGTTGCCCCCAAAGATGACTTTTAATTTGGGTACTGTTTGTTTTTTGTTAGGCCAGGATCAGTCAAGGTCACACCTTGTGTTTGGTTATGTCTCTTTAGTGCCTTCCTTTAATTAGACTTTGCCATATAGTGTCTGTTGAAACAATTCAGCTTTGCCATTGTCGTGTGAAAGCAGCGTGGCTGATAGTGAATGAATGAACGTGGCTGTGTTCCAGGAAAGCTTTGTTTACAGAAACGGACAGCAAGCAAGGACTCCGTCTATGAACCAAAGTTTGCTGACCCCTGACCTCAAGCAATGGCCCTGCCCCCTTTTTATCTTTTATGACAGACATTTTGAGGAAGCCAGGCAAGCTGTCCCCTAGTATGTCCCACACTCTGGGTTAGTGTGGTTGGTTCCTCATGATTAGATTCAGGTTAAAGATTTTTGTCGAGTTCTACACAGGTGTCTTAGGCTGGTCAGCTGCTATAACAAAATACTGTAGAATAGATGGCCTTTCAGTTAGACATTTAGTTGTTACAGTTCTGAAGGCTGGAAAGTCCAAGATCAAGGCGCCAGCAGGTTTGGTGCCTGGTGAGGGCCCGCTTCCTGGTCCATAGACGACTGTCTCTTTGCTGTGTTCTCACATGGGAGAAGGGAACTCTCTGGAATCTCTTCATTTTTATTTTTAAAATTTTTTATTTTTTTTTAAACAATGGATGCCTGAGTATCAACCCAGGCCAAATTAAATCTGAATTTCTTAGGGTGAGGTCTGGGAGTCCTAATTTCTTTTTACTTATTTATTTTTTATTTTACTTTTAATGGAGGTACTGGGGATTGAACCGGCATGGGATCTCTTTTTATAAGGGCACTAATCCTCTTCCTGGGGGCTCTGCCCTTACGACCTGATCACCTCTCAAAGACCGCACCTCCTAATACCAGCACACTGAGGGGTGAGTTTCACTATATGAATTTGGGTTGGGAGCAGGGAAGGCAAACCTTCAGTCTGTAGCAGTAGCTGTGTACTTGTATTGTGTCCCATTGGGAGGCTCGTAAAGTTTGATCACTTAGTTTACAATGATGTTCACGAGATCTCTCTGCTGTAAAGATGTATTTACTGTGGTAATTAATAGGCAATCTGTACAGTAGTAATTTGAGACCACGTGACTATCCTTACCTGAATCCATTATTACACTAAGGGTTAGAAAAAGATGATTTTTCTCCTGTGCCTTCTACTGTTACTAGCTGGCATTCTGTGAAGAAAAGTTGCCTCCCTCTTTTTTAAACCCTTGTTCTTTTGATTATTACTGTAAATTCCTCATTTTAAATTTTATCCAGTATGTTATAATCTGTCATCACATTCTTTTTGATACTCAGAGGGTCTCAATTTGGCCAGTGGCGGGGCTTCAAGTTGGCACTGATCCGCATCACTTTCTGAGCACTTCCTTGCTATGGCCAGGCTGTTCCAGGCTGTTCCAGGCTCACCTTGTACTCTGTCTCAGTCTTGGAATTAGCCTTTTCCCCAAGGAACCCAGTTTTTTCCTGTGTTTCTGGCTGTTGCTGTTGGGGCAGCCAGTTTGAAAGGCTAAATTGTATCTGTTTTGTTCTGCTGCTTGGCTGACTAGAAAGGACTGAGCATGTTTTCCTTTTTTGTGGTCATGTGTATGTGTTTCTTTCCGTGAACTGCTTTTTCACACCTTTGGCCCACATTTGTTTTGGCATGTTGATCTTTTTCTTGTTATTTAAGTGAGTTAGTGCATCAGAGTACTTAGAATAGAGCCTGGCACACAGTAGGGTTAGCTATTGTTAGTCGGTATTCATCCTTTTTTGGAAGTATCAAGAGTGACTCCTAAACTCCCTCCCCCAGACCGATGTTGCTCTGCTGCAGTCACAGGGAGAGCGCTGCCTGTCACTGCCCAGAGTTTATGGGTCAGCATGTGGCACCGCCCCTGCTCTTCCCTCTGGTTCATGGAACCGCAGATGTGGGCCGGCAGCCAACCCCCAGTGTTACGAGGCCCCGGCCCCGGGGCGCAGTGTGTAGCCCCTCAGCACAAGAATGGGGCTCAGAGCCAGGCAGCTCACCGCTTGTTTCCCGCTCTGCAGGAGGTGGACTGGGAGGTGGAGCTGGCCGTGGTCATTGGAAAGAAAGGCAAGCACATTAAGGTGAGGTGGAGGGGTGGTGCCAGCTGTCCTTGGCGCTGGGAAGTGGTTGGCACCTACCTGGTCCTGACTGCCTTGCCCCTGCCCACCACCTCTGGCCACTAACGTGGGATCAAGACTTTGAGATCCTTTGTTGTAAAGGTTGATGTCAATCTAATCTCCAGTCTGGCCACATCCCCTGCCCCCATAGGCCACAGATGCCATGGCCCACGTGGCTGGCTTCACTGTGGCACATGACGTGAGTGCTCGTGACTGGCAAATGAGACGCAATGGAAAGCAGTGGCTGCTGGGAAAAACCTTTGACACCTTCTGCCCCCTGGGCCCCGCCTTGGTGACCAAGGACAGTGTAGCAGGTAGGTCTTTGAGAGCCCACTTGTGCTTCCTCTTGCTCTTAGATACATCAGTGAAGAAAAAGCAGCTTTACAGGAAGCGGGAGCGAGGGGTGTGGCTCAGTGTGGGCTCCCCCGCCATCCGCAGCTGCCATTTTGTTAGTTCCTTCTATTAGAGCAAATCTCTCAGCCTGGGCCACGAATTCCCCAGTGGGCCTCCTTCCTGTCCCCTCCCCCTACAGAGGACCACATCGCAGAGGTGAATCTGCATGCACAAAGTGAACTGCAGAGATCAGTGCTGTGCTGTGTGGATCAGGCTTCCTCTAGCGGCCACCATCTAGGAGAATCTCTAAGTTGGAAGGAAGCAGTGCTAGCCTTTGAGCATCACAGAGAGTGGCTGTTCACAGAGGCCCCTGCATCTTCTGCAGTAGGGATAATGTGGCATAACCAGGCGGTGGCTACAAGCAGCCTGGGCACAGTGGAGCCAGGAAGTCAGTGGTTGAGAGGACAGAGCACAGCCATCTGGGCGGGGCCCTGTCCACGTGGTTTACTCTCGCACCACCCCTTGCAGTCAGTCATCAGTAAAGTTAAGTTGTGTTCCCAGGGGTGTGTTTGTGACTGTGTAAAACACACAAAAATGAAGATAAAAGTGCTGGTTACCCAGGACACTATGACTTGTAAGGCATCAGGTGCTAGAGTCCTCCCTGTCCTTCCTCGATGCCAAGTCATTTTATATGTGTGCTGTTGTCGGCCACTGCTGCGGCTGAATATCCGTTTTTTTAAGGCAAAACCGAGGCATTTTTCTCTCCCCCTTGAGAGTCTGGAACATCCCCTCCTTGACACACCTAGGTGACCATGAGGCAGGTGCTCTGCTTGGTGGTGCATCCACAGGGAGGCCCAAGGAGGCCTGTGTCCACCCAGAAAGTTCCAGGGTAGGGAGTGCCCTGTGCTTTCATCTTCTGTTTGATTATCAGAAGCGGTTGCAGGAAAGAAGGGAGAAACCCAGTGTTGTTTCTGTATTTCAGATCCACACAATTTAAAGATTTGCTGCCGAGTGAATGGGGAGGTGGTCCAGAGTAGCAACACCAACCAGATGGTGTTTAAGACAGAAGAGCTGATAGCCTGGATCTCCCAGTAAGTGGGACGGAGCCCCACCCCAAACACCCACCTGGAGGCCAAACCGAGCCCTCCGTGCCTGGTTGTGGCCACCTTAGCCCCTCGTCTCACCTGGCCCTTTTGCCCTAGGTTCGTCACTCTTTACCCAGGGGACATCATCCTGACTGGGACCCCCCCAGGAGTTGGAGTATTCAGGAAACCTCCTGTCTTTCTCAAGGTAGGTTGGCTAAAGGAGGAAAGAAAGAAGGACCCAGAAGGCCTGGCAGGGTTGGCCCAGACTTGAGATCCAGGCCTGTGTATGTGTAGATGTGTGTGTGTGTGCGCGCGTGCCAGACCAAAGGACTGACAGCCTCGCGGCCCACGCTGTTGCAGAAGGGCGATGAAGTCCAGTGTGAGATTGAAGAGCTAGGCGTCATCATCAACAAGGTGGTATGATGGCTCCTGCTGCAGGCCCTGGACTTCAGACGAGGTGGCGGCATCCGTCCCACGGAGCCCAGCACAGGGAGAGACCCGTGCCAGCCCTCTCAAGGCCCCTCTTCCAGGTGAGGGAGAGGAGATGGCCCTCTTCCTCAATAAACTACTTTTTGTCTTCCTTTGGGTTTGTTTTAAGGCATAATAGGGCATTCTTACTCAGTGGGGAGGGAGAGAGCAGATAAAAACACACACATCCCAAAAAGACACTGCTGAGCTTGGGAAAAGAGGACTCATCCAGTCCTCTCATTTACTGCACCAAAGGATGGAGAAAGCAAGTGAGGGCAAAGGACCATCAGACTGTAAAAAGATTTTATAGCCCAGCTCAGGGTCTGCAGCTCCATGCTGTCTTCTGGCTCGGGGGCACGGCTGTATTCTGGGGCTGAGCAGTCTGAGCACGGCTCCTCCCCACAGCTCTAGCTACAGATGAACTGCCGGATGAACTGTTCCAGCTTTTCCTGATTGTCCCGGCTGACAAAGGTAGATGACAGGTGGAGCACGGGGCCCGCGGGGCTGGGTGTCTGCCGCAGTACCTGGGCCACAGAGAAGGGCTCTGAGCGCTCACCACGGGGGCTGCGCACACCCCCGCCGGAAGCCTGCAGTGAGCCCCGTGGGCCCTCGCACCGTGGTGTCTGGGCACAAACGCTGCCTCTCAAACCACCCTCAGGGCCCCACCTGAGAGCAGGATGAATCAGCAGTTTGGGAGACCAAGAGGGGCAGGAAAACCATTCTATCTTCTCCAACTACTGTTGCCACACCTGTTCTTGGGAGACCCTGGGTACTAGGGTGGGCACAGCTGGGCTTCCTTGAGCAGCTCTATCACGGTGTGTGTCGGGGTGGGAGGCAAGGGGACAAAAAGATGGTGAGACTGGTCCCTCTTACCCCCAAGTCTCTGAAGGTCCAGATAGCACTGATGGCAAGATTTAGGTCTGCACACTCTGGAGGAAAGAGAAGCGAAGGCTACAAGGCAGGGTGGGAGGGCAGACGCCTCTCTCCCGCTTGTTTAAAGATGGAGCAGCCCCAGGACAGGGCTAAGGCCAGACCCAGAGGCCTCTGCATTCTGTAGCCCTCCTTCCTGGAATGGACTTTCACTGCCCAGTAGGGGGCAGCAGCCACCAGCAAACCTTCCTGCCTCCCAGGGCCTGGGCTGGCTGCTTGGGACTCACCGAAGAACCCTTCCTCCTGGGCAGTGGCCTGTAAGAACCGGAACAGCTGCTCCACGTAGCCCGACTCTGCAGGAGAGAGGAGTCCAAGAGCCAGGGCTGCACACAGGCGAAGCCCCTACCCTGCGCCCTCCGCCTCCCCTGAGGCTGGGCCTCACCAGTATCCGGCAGCTGTCCCTTGTGGAGGAAGGTGGCAGCCTGCGCAAAAGCCTTGAGTGGCGGGCTGAGCAGGCGGCAGAGGAAGAGGAAGAAGTCAGGGCAGCGTGACTGTTGACTGAGCTGGAGGAAGACAGGCCAGGGTAAGAGCAGCTCCCACCGCCTCCCTCCCCTGGTGGCTTCTCCCAACGTACCCTGAAGTACCGGCCCTCAGCTTCCTCAAAGTCATCACTGTCACTATCAGTGAAGTCCCCGCTTGGTTTCCACAGCAGTTTTGCACTCAAATGCTGCCGCCCTGTGTCACAGGCTGGCCGGAAGCCTGGGTTCTGGGGGAGCCATTGGTCCCTGTCAGGCCAGCCAAGGTTCAGCCCTGAGCTCCCCCAGACCAGGTACATGCTGGCCAGGCCTGTGGAGGTGAAACCAGCAAAAGCAGACCTAGGGAGCCCAAGAGGATACCCCAGGCCACTCAAGACCATGACACCTGCCAAGCCAACTTGCAGGGTGGAAGTGAGCACTCACCCTCAAGGGCCATGGCTCACCACCCTCAAGAAACGTGGTGAGCAGGGCTGTGCAGAGACCCTTGGTGCATCTGTCCAGTCCGGTCAGGGTAACTATACGTGGGCCCAGGGCAGATGGGGTCTGCCAAACCCAAAGGCAGAGGGTGGCAGAGGAGGAGCCCAGGCAGCTGTCACGCAGGGTGGGAGGCTGAAAGAGGCCAGGCCCCAGGCAAGGGCTTGGTCTCCAGCTGCCCTTCCTACCTCTTCAGCAACTAGGAGCCCACACTGGATGAGACGGTCCAGCACCTCCTGACAGTAGCAGTAGGAAGACTGGCAGGGCTGGGGAGAAAGGCATCCACGTGGCCTCAGGAGAGCCAGGCGCTGGGCAGGGGCCTGGCCAGAGGCGAGGCCAGACCAGATCTACTGGACACCGTAGGGTCAGTGCTAAGGCAAGCATGGGCCCCTCCTATACCCAAGAAGGGGAGGCCTAGGGCTGAGCTGGGTTGGCAGGAGAGGCCTGACCTGCAGCAGCAGCAGGTCCTGCGGCAGCAAGTGCAACAGGAGCAGGATCTGGCGGTACAGCTCCTTCTGGCTCAGCAGCTCGATGCCTTGCAGCTCACAGGGCCCCTCAGGCGGCACCCTGCCCGCCAGCAGCCCCCGCACAGCACAGGCTGGGGGAGGAGGGGGCCAGTGGTCAGGAAGAGAAGCCACTCCCCTCACCCCTACACACATCCCACCCACCCCAAGCCCTGGGGACTCACCACCCACAGCCTCGCTCAGGAAGGCGGGCAGCAGCCCAGCGCTCAGGCGGGCCAGGTGTATGAGGCCTGGGCCGGGCCGAGGAACCACCAGCAAGTCCCCATGATGGACGCGCAGCAGGGCCACGTGCGCCCGCAGCAGGCTCAGCGTGTGCTGCACCAGGCACCGCAGCTGCCCTGAGAAGCCCACGTCAAAGCCACGCAGCAGCGTCTCCTCTGTCAGCCAGGAGAACTCCCCCAGGAGCTGTGACAGGAGCACGCCCTGGGTGGGCAGTGAGGGGCTGAGCGGGAGGGCCGCACCTCCTCCCCAGCCCCCACCGCACCGTGCCCTACCTTCCGGTGCTTGAATAGCAGCAGCGTCGCCGTGATGGCCGTGCTCATCACCGCCGAGCTCGCCACGCAGGCTGGGGCCGGGGGTGGGGGATGCTGGTCAGGGGCCAAGGCCCAGCAGCCTGGGCCCTTCATCACCAAGCAGGTCTTTCCAGCCAAGGGCATACCTCCCCAGCAGCCCCTCAGACACCCCCCCCAACTCCACCCCTGGGAAAGGGAGAACAGGCTTGGTCCTTGGGCCCCACCTTCCCCAGTGGAGAACTGGCATTTATCAAGTATATGTTGAGCCAAGCTGGGAGCTCAGAGTCCTTCCCTGCCAATTGTAGGCCTACTAGCCACCAACCCCACAGCCTCTGCCATGGAAGGGACACTTAAGATGGTAGTAAAGCTGTTAAGAGCCCTCTGTGTGCCAGGTGCTGTTTTTAAGTCCCTTACATATATTATTCCATTCAGCTGTGGTCACCTCAGAGTGAAGAGACGCGCCTGGGGCTGGGCTGGGCGGCCACCTGTGTGCACGCTCTCAGCAGCTCCATCACGTTCCCCCTGGCTGCCCCACTCCTTAGGGGCAGGGCGAGGTTCCACCCCTCTTCATATGTCCCAAGTGGGCCACACAGGAAGGGGGCAGGAATGGAGGGCCCTGACGACTGGCCAACTCTGAGAGCCTCCCCCAAAGGCCAGACCAAGCTCCCACTCACCATTCAGGACGTGGCGGCTCAGCATCCTGACCAGGAGCTGGTCCTCTTCCTTGAGAGCCAGAAGGGGCCCAGTTACTGGGGTCCACTCCTGCTCTTTTTCAGTGTCTGGGACAAGGGTACTGGGATAGAGACACAGATCACAGGACAAAGGGACTGAGCACGAAAACAGCATGGGGAAGCCCAAAGCTTTCTCGAAGGTGAACGTGTTTCCCCATCCCTGAAAAAGGTGGCTCATGTAACCCAAGTCCTTTCCAGGCCTGTGCGCCATAACCCACACTCAGATGACAGGCAGGGAGGCGTGCCTGGCACTGTTCTGGGTGACTCAAGGTTGCTTGGCGAGGGAAGGCTAGAACTGGTGATGTCTGTGGTTATGGGAGGATTGGGTCCCAGCTTACAAGGTGGGGCCTGAGGGCTGCCTGCCTTGCCCCCCCGAGATCCACACAACTCCCCTGCCCCTACCATTGGCCCAGCACGATGGGCTGCAGCAGCTGCTCCAGGGTCTGCCTGCTGCCCCAGCAGCTTCTGGCGTTGATGGTGTATTCCTGCCCGGGACAAGGCTCTCAGGTGGCCTGCCCTGGCCCACCAGAAAACCTGCACACAGCCTGAGGTAGGCAAGGCTATCCCTGCAGTGGCTTTGAGGGCCAGGCTGCCAGAAGCCCCAGGACAGACCCCAGGGACTCCCAGCCTTGCCAAATAGGGTCCACACCTGCAGGGAGAAGGGCTGGGCCAGATGTACACGGATGCAGACCCGGTGGCTGCAGCCCCAGCCTCGCAGGCTCCGAAGAACAGCCAGAGCTCCTGTCCACAGCCCCAGGGGGGGAAAGGCCTGCATGGGGGAAGGGACTGAGTGGGCCAGCTTGCCTGGGGCCGGCATGCTTGCTGCTCAGCTGTATCTTGGGCCTGAACTGGTACATAACCATGGCCTCTCCAAGCTTATTTTCTCATCTGTGGAACAGGAGAAATCCCTCCCTAGCAGGGTCTTTTGAGAAGGAAATGAGAGAGGCTGTAACAGCCTTGGCAGGTGCCACAGGAGGATGACTGTAGGGATAAACTTCCTTTGCACTCCCTGCTTAACCCCAGCCCTGAAGGGGACTCAGCCTCAGGACACAATATTGTGCCTCCTCTCTGCAGATGGTGTCCGCCTGGGTCTCCAAGGGCAGGAGGGTCTCACGTGGTATGTGTCACGGGGTGCATCTGGAACCAGGTCATAGGTGACGGCCACTGGCACCAGCATAGCATCTGGGACGATGCCCACCTGGACTGCCTGCACCACCAGTCCCAGCCAGGTCTGGCCCAGGGCTGACAGCCGAGACCCCTGAGTCCCAGGGGGCTCCTCCAGGAAGATGAGCAGGGGCTGCCCACTGAGCAGCAGCTGCTCCACAGCCTGGAACAGGGTTGGGGGAGGACAAGTGTCAAGGCCAGAATAGCAACAGGCCCCTGTACCCTGGCCCCACATACACCACTGGGGGCACAGCACTCACCGCCTGGACCACAGCCCTTGCAAGAACGCCCTCAGAGCTGTCCAGGGACAGGTTGGCCTCTGAGGGCAGGAAAAGTCCCCCAAGCTGCTTCAGCAGAGCGCTGTGGGCCACGAGGAAGATGAGGAAAGGGGCTTAGGAGATGGGACCAAGCAGGAGGCTAGTGAGGGCCTTGGCCCACTCACGGCCAGCCTGGGTCCTGCCTGAATACCCTGAGGCCAGGCATGGCCCGAGGGCCCACAGCTGACCCTCCATCTGAGCCCCACAGGCTGGGCTGGCAGAAAGTTGGGAGCAGAGGGGCCAGGAAGAGGGTTTCTGGGGATCTGCTGTCAGCAACACCCCCTTACATCCCCACACATCCTTGCCCCAGCCTGGGGTCCTCTCCCCTGTATGTCTTAAGGACACAGACTTTTACCTGAGGATGGGGGAGCAGGTGCGGGGGTCCCAAGCCACACGGAGCACACCCAGGCCCTGGGAGAGCAGCACAAACGGCAGCAGGATCCCATCCAGGAGTGACTTGTGGGTAGAGAGGAGGACGAGCGGCGAGCCCTGCTCCAGGGAGAGCCAGAGAGGTGCCGAACAGTGCCCGCCCCCCGCCCTGAAGACGCAGGGAGCTGAAGCCCAGCACCCCCAGACCCAGGGCCACCCCAGAGGGAGAGAGGGTTCAGTTGAGCAGTTCTTCCTCTGAGCACATTTCCCAAAAGCAGAGGAGCTTTGTCAACAACTTTTAAGGTAATGCACTGATGTAATGGTTGTTAAGACCATGATGAAAAGCCGTTAGAGAAAGCCCCATGGGAGCAGGACCGTGAGACACGAAGAGAAGGTCGTCAAAGAGCAGTGGATTTTTCCCACCAGCTGATGGGGCTGGTCCCCACTGAGGGCTTGGTTTAGCCTCTGCTCCTCCGTCCCCAGTATCCCATCCCCATCCAGATGGAGGGCGGGCCTTACCGCCTGGGCGGCCTTGTGGACCATCTTCATCTGGCCCTTGTGCAGCTGCACGTTCAGGAAGAGGCAGTTCAGAAACCGCAGCATTGCCCAGCTGAAGAGCCTGGAGAGTGATGCTCAGTCTGAGGTATGGCAGGCCCAGCCTGCAAGGCAGCCCATGGCATCCCAGAGGGCCATCCAGCACTCCTCTACAGCGGGCGCTATTACTGTCCCCACTTTACAGAAGAGGAAAGTGAGGCTCAGAGAGGCTACAGACGCTGCTGGATAGAAGTGGGGGTGCTGGGACTGGAAAGCAGGCCTGACACCACAGCCCACACCGGCAAGGTGCTGATGCTCTTCCAAGAAGACCTCATGGGACAACTGCCTCATATCAGCCTCAGAGCATCTCCCTGCTTCCATTTACCCCAGAGGAGACTGGAGAACCAAGACCTTCTCCAGGCATAACCTGGCCTGGTTTTTGCAAACTGCTAGGAAGGGTGAACTAAAAAGGGAGGAGTTAAGTGATACAAGAAAAAGGGATAACTGAAGAGGCAGAGTCTCTGGGGAGGGGCTGTCCAAAGGCCCGATGCACGGACTGGCTTTAAATGAGGACAGAAGTGCAGATGCAGGTAGCATGCAGATGTGATGGACACACAGCATGTCCTCATCCGATGGCTTCTATTTCTCCATGAAGCATGGGACAGGGGGGAGGGAGGAGGAAATCGGTTGACAGTGGTAAGTCAGAGAAGGAGCAGTCTGGATTGGAGCCTTGGAGAGTGCTGGGTGCCCCTCTGAGAATCACACTTGTAAAGGAGACAGGTCCACCCAGTGTTTTTTCCTCTAGTGACATTTGCTGCTTGAGTACAGAGACAGAAAGTAGCTGGGTTCAAACACAACCAAGTTGTGCCGTGACTCCTTCACAAGGGCATTTTTGTCACAAGGAGCCTTGGAATAGAAGCTAGGCCAGGAGGGCAGGAAACACAAGAGGGGAGGCTGACAGCTGGTATAAAGGTGGTCCGGTCAAGGGACTGGAAGTTGCAACAAAGCCAAAGAACTGTCACCTGGAGGGCTGGTCATAGATCACCAACAATCTCTACTTCCTGTCCTTGCTCAGTTGACCACAGCTGAGCCCGACATGTGTAGGTAGCCCTGTGCCCTCTTTCCCTCAGTGACTCATTCATCCCCTGGTTTAAGCATCATCTATGTGCTAAAGCTCTGCAAATATATGTTCCTGGCCCTGACCTTCCTTCTGAGCTCCAGACTTCTATACATAAGCAGCTGCTGCCTCGGTGCCTCCACCAGCATGTCATGTTTCTAAAACTCTTTGTGTCCAAAACGTCTTTTGTGGGCCAAACTCATTCCTCCCCAAGCCTGCCCCCTCCCCTCCCCAGGTGCTTAGACAGAAACCTGACTCTTCTGTAATCTCCGCTGTTTCCCCTCACTGCTCCCACCTCAACCCCCAATCCATCAGCGAGTCCTGTTAGTTTCATAATTGGTCGCTCCATCCATTTTCCCAACCTCTACCGTCACCCCATCATCACATCTCCCCTGGACTAACAAAACAGCCTCTCAGATGATCTATTCTCTACTCTTGACCTCAATTAATTTTGTCATTCTCTGCTTAAAACCTTTCCATTGGTTCTCATTGCACTTAGAAATCAAATCCAAACTTCTTGTATGACCCTGAGTATCTGGTCCCTTCTACCTCTCAATTTTGTCTCCCACAACTCTCCACGTCACTTGCCAGCTTCCAACCACATCAGCTTCTTGAGCAAACCCGGCCCTTTCCTGCAGCCACAGCTCATGCTGTTCCCTCTGGTAGGAAATGCTTCCCCCACATCCAACCCTCACCTTCCCAAGGCTGGCTCCTTTCCCCCTTTTGTCCTTGGCTTATAGGTCTCTTCCTCCCCTGCAGTTACTCTCAGCATTAGCCCTTGTTCTGTCCTTCTTGCAGGCATGTGTATCTCTCTTCACTCTGACCTGTGCATCCCTCCATTTCCCCAGAAGAGTGCCCTGAATCTAAAAGGAGCTCAGACCTGTGCCAGACAAATGCAGAAGGGAGCAGGTGGTAACAGAAGGATGAATGAGGAAGGGAGCATGAGGGCCTATAAGATGGGGGAAACTGTCACCTAATCGCTCTCCCTCTCTCCATAGGAACCTGACCTGGAGGAGGTGGAAGGATGGAGAGGTTACTGGAATCTAGGCCACAACCAGGGGTTCCTGGGGTGACCCCCAAGATCTCACTCCCAGGACAGATACACACTTGGGCTTGCTCAAGAAAGAGGGTTTCATGGTCCAACTGGAAGGGCTGCATTCTCTATAGACTCACCCTCTTGGACAGTAGCATATTAAAGTCTGAGAAATTGTCTCATCAACAGCAGAGAACATGCTGAATCCCCAACAGAACCCAGGGTCCCATCAGCACCAGCACATGACAAACCTCCCGCCCCATACCTGACTGATCCCACCAAGGAGCCAGCTGTCTTCAAAAGGTCTAGATCAGTGTCTCCCTCAGGCTATCTGGTAAACACACCATCCAGCTCCCCAAGAGGTGAATCCAGTCTTTTCCCAAGCCCAGCCAATGCCCTCTCCAGAAAGGCAGAAGCCCCAGCCTAGAATGCCCCTCACCAGGGAGTTACCTGAGCAGGAAAGGGCGGGGTGGGGTCTGGATGTGGCCCAAGATGCGCTGTACCACTTTCTTCACAAGGCTGGACACCTGGCCTTCCCCAGCCCCTCCGGGGGCCCTCCCTGAGATGACATTCTGCACCCTGTTGTGTCGCGGGGAATGGTGTAAGGCTGGAGCAGGCCTAAGGTCACCTCCCTCAGCCCCATAGCATCCCCAGGGTACAGCCTCCAGTCTTCACCTTCCATCTTTGAGGGGCCCCAGGCCAAGCTAACATTCTACAAACCAGCCCTTTCAACCAGCCCTGCCTAGAGCTTTTGTCATCCCTTCAAGGATCCCAGAAGTACCCAGACCCTAGTCCCTGCCTCCTTACCCAGTGCTTTCCATGATCTTCTGTGGGGCATCCTGGCAGGGGGGTATGTGCTGCTCCAGTGACCACAAGAAATAGCAGAGCCTCCGAACCAGCCAGCCCCGAAACCTGGGCACAGCCCCCAGAGCAGGGGGCAGATCTCTGAGAGCCCACTCCCGACTAGGGCCCACAGAGGACATTCCATCAGGAAGGGATCAGACCCCAGTCCCATGGCCTGGGAACACCTGAGCTTGGCTTATCATGGAGCAGGAAGAGGAAGCACCTGCTAGTCTGTGGCCTATTCCTACCTCTCTCTCCACTGAGTAGGGTACAGGTTCAGGGCCTGACACAGTGGGCAATCCACCAATGCTCACAGAAGGAACAGCAGGAAAGCTCCAACCCTGTCTGTCCCCTCCTGTGGGTTTGGAGCAGAGGGGAGGGCCCTTCTTTTTCACTGAAGGAAGAAAATGACACCACAAAGCAGGGCCCCAGCAACCCGGCACCCAAAGGCCCGGCCCTCCACCCTGCCCCACCCCCAGCTCTGACTACCTGGTGTTCTCCTCCTTCACCAGGATCACATTGCAGAAGCCTAGGTCCATTATGCTTCTGTGGAAGAGGGACTCCTGCCCAAGAGGGGCAGGGACAGCATGTCCTTGGGGGACCTTTGCAAACCAGCAAAGGAAAGCCCCTGCTCTGTCTTCTGTGGTCTTTGCCTGAAGGACTATTGAGTCTACCAGAAGACAGGATTATAGTACAGCGTTTCCCAAAAGATGTTTGACTCCAAATCCTGAAGCTTGCTCAAGAAAGAGGGTTTCATGGTCCAACTGGAAGGGCTGCATTCTCTATAGACTCAGCCTCTTGGACAGTAGCATATTAAAGTCTGAGGAATTCTCTCATCAACAGCAGAGAACACGCTGAATCCCCAACAGAACCCAGGGTCCCATCAGCCCAGCACATGACATGGATGTACAGAGGTCTTCAAGCATGTGCTGAGTGCTGGGTGACTCTGAGTAGGCAGTGTCCTCAAAACTGAACAACAGGACTCATGCAAGCATGTCAGATCCCAGCCCTCGGGCCACACCCTACCTCCTCTCAGGCCCCCTCTGTACTTCCCCATCCAACCCTCCCAGGCCTGGGAGCCAGGAGCCAGGAGCCAGCCCCTGGCCAACAACCAAACAGTTCTCAAAGTGGGGCCTGGCCCTACCACTACTCACCCAGCTCTTAGGGGTGCAGGTCTGGCAGCAGCGACCCACAAAAGGGCGGTATTTCCCCAGGAATGGGGTGACAGCCTCCAGCTTCATCCTAAAGCCGGAGGACCACAGGCTTGTCTGGAAAAAGACCACAGGCTTGTCTGGAAAAGGGCCACAGGGAGAAATGACAGGACTCAAAGTACTTGGCAGAGGGAGGGAGGCTCCAGGTGTGAGGGGGCACAGGGCAAGAAGGGAGGCAGAGGAATGTCTGGGAATAGGAACAGCTACACCACCTCCCGACCATTCTGGCTGCTCCTCTGCTGGGTCTGGAGTTGGGCTTCCAACATGGTGTCCACGGGGGTCTGTAAGACCTGGGAACCAGCCACCTCCACCTCTCTCTCTCTCCAGAGGAAGCTGACCTGGGAAGAGGAAGAAGGATGGAGGAGGTACTGGAGTATTGACCACAACCAGGGGTTCCTGGAGCGACCCCCATAACCCCTACCCCAGAACAGACAGACAATACCTAGGTTAGCAGTGGTGAGAACCAGGGCAGGAATCTGGGGGCTGGCTCAGATCAAAGCCCTCTCCCCCGACACTGGACTGGTCACACGGTGCCAACTGTCCTCAAATGTATCACAGTGTCCAGATCAGGGCTTCCTCAGGCTAACATTAGGGCAATCGGTTGTCTCACCATCAACATCCACCCTGCCATCTGCCATCTCAGCACAGATAGGGGCTGTATTTGAAAACTCAGACCCTTTCTGTGCGCAAACAAGGCTGGATTGGCAGGAAGAAGGCATAAGACTGCCAAAGAGGAACAGGATCATCATCACAAGGACTGAGCTACCAGTCCTGCTCAGCTATTCTTCCCCTCTGCACCAGGAGACAGACATTTATCCACTCAATCATTACAGGAATGTGGGCCTAGGGTACTAGGTGGGGGACAGCTGGGTGGTCAGAACACAGAAAAATGTTCCCAAGGAATGGTCTTCTGGTTGCGGATAAGACAGAACACAACCTCTCCGCTTACACAGCACTCTCCACGGGCTATCCCACTTGGTGTCTCCCAGCCTCCTTCTTCCTACCACAATATCCCCCTGAACTAACAAACAACTATCTTCCATAAAACAGCACTGAATCCTCCTGACCCAGAAACTGAGCCCTAAAAACCCTTTTACCCTGATTTCTCACCATTTCCCGGATGGGTAGGCTGATCCAATTAGTTGTATTACCCCTGCCCCCACTACACAGTGCACACGCCTACCTGGGAGGGCCTTCTCCTTCCCCACCACTGCCCCACCCCACCTCACTGCTGTCAAATTCTGCCCATGGCTCTAAGTCCATGACACTTCTGCATCATCCTCTGGGCTTTTCCTCTCTTCCTTGGTTCTCTCAGCCCAAGTTTGCTGGGCAAGAAGCCTCCTCCAGGGCTGAGATTTCATTTTCTGGCATCATCTATAAGTATCCTGAGGGCAAGGGCTGCACTGATTCATCTCTCTGCCCTGCCCAGAGGAGGGACCCAAGAAATGCTAGACTGTCTGTAATGTCCTCTCCCAGAATTCCTCTAGGTCTCTCCTCCTCTCCCCAGTTAGTACAGTTTAGAACCAGGAGGCCAAGCAGTAACAGGATCACAATTCCCCAGTGCACAGCTCTGGTACACTCATCCCAAATGCATTTCCTACTTTGAAAATATTCTCACAGCCTAGTTCACAGATACTTGGTACAAGGAGTCCCAAGCCCAGGCTGCAATTTGAGGAGTCCTGCTTGCTTTGCAAGGAGGATGTCTGCTCCCCAGCCTCAGACCACCCCACTCTCAAACCTAACCCCCACTAGATCCGTGCTAACCCTAAAAGGGCAGAGTGAAAGACAAGACAAGGAGTAACTCCCACTCACCAACTAAGTCAACACTCAGCTCACACAATCTAGAGGTCAGTTCTGGCATATATCTTTCTAGCACTCAGGCCCCCCAAATGGAGATCTCAATATGCAGCTCCTGCCTGGACACCCCCTTCCCCCAGGACACCTGCAGCAGAGGTGGCAAACCGGCCACCTGAGGGCCAAACGCAGTTCACTTAACGCATTTTCTTTGGCCATGCAATATTCTAAAACTTGACGAATTAACCTCAACATTCAAAACTGCAGAGATTGTTACATAAAAAACCAGGGTGTCCAGCGGCGACTTGGCCTCTCTGGCATGGACCCCACAGAGCCTTGGCTGTCTGGAGCCCGACACCACTGTCCCCATTTCCCTTGCGCCCTCCCGTTTGCCGCCACATCAGTCACACTTGATGCCCGGTCCCGGGGCACATCTGAGTTTGCGGCCCTTGATCAAGGAAGGGCGCACATTCAAACCCGTTCCCTTGTCTGGGATGTCTGTTCCCTACAAAGAACCACAACTTGAACATGACCTCTTCACCCCTGGGCCGGCACCGGGGGGTGGGGGCCTCAGAACTTGGGTCCCTCCCAGACCGACGATGAGCGTTCCTTGACCTGTCTGAAGACGCAAGGAAGGGCACCTGCCGCAGTGGCTCTGGGTCTAGGGTGATAGGAGGCCGAGGACCATGCAAAGTGGTAGTCCCTGAGGGGCTGCCCCTCAGGCATGGACCCCACAGAAGGGCTCATCCGTGCGGCAGGCCCTACAGGGCCAGCGCTCTGTCCCTCCCTCACCAACCCCCAAAAAGGTCCTCCAGGCCGGTGCCCAAAGCAGGAAAGCCCCTAGGCGGTCCTGGGCCTGGTCCGACCCGGCCCAGCTCGGGAGTGACCCCCATACCCCAACCCTGGCCAAGCGAGTCTCACCTCACACCTGCCCGCCAACTCCCGCCAAAGCAGCAGCCGGGGAGGAGGCCGGAAGGCGCGGGCTAGTGGCGTCTGCGTGCTGTCTAAAAGGCAGCTCTGAGAGCCAATTGAAGCGCGCGCTGGGCCTGAAGCCCCACCCCCACGGCGCCCTGCCCCGCCTCGTGCTGAGCCAAACGCTGCGTGGCCACAAGATCCTCGCGGGGGGCGGGGCTGCGTGTGTGGGCGTGGCGGGCCGTGGGGTGGGGCGCGAGGTGGGCGGGGATGCATCGTTGAGTCACTGGCGGTGTGCTTGGTCCTGCTCGCCTTCCCAAGCAGGACCTGCAGGTGCGTGGGGACCCCTGGAGACGTCTACGAGACCCGGGGTCTCGAAGGACGAGGACACGTGGGTAGCCAGGTTCTAATGAAGGCAGTTCCCAGGGTGCCACCAAGCTGGAGTTTAAGCTCTAGCAAATCAAGTTGGGGATACTTCAAAAAGATAGAGAATTACCAGAAGCCGGTTTGGAATCATGAAAAACAAGTGAGGCCTCCTCAGTGTCATTTCCTTTGTTCATTAGAACCCTAGACCACGGCCAGGGATGTGCTGCAGTCACCAGGTGCCTGAGTTTCAGCTGGCCCTATGACCAATGTGTTTATTCCTGCGGTTTTTTGATTAATAACCGACTCCTGTCTCGGCCTTCAGGTGAAGGAAAACTGTGTAGGTTCATTCATCTTTTGATTGTTCCCAGCACACAGCAGGGGACCAGGAAGTAGTAGGCAAGCCATACAGAATAAATGAAGGAGGGGATGGTTGAGCTTTGTTCCTGCACTGCCCCTCCCACCCCACTGTGTAATGACAGCCAGACAATTCCACAGTTTCAGAACTGCATGAGCAAAGCCACATCGGAGACTGGCTGGGTTCACACTCCTCCCTCCTCTCTGGCCAGCTCTAGTGTGACTGCCCCCACCCTCCCCTCCAGGGTGTAACCTTCTTTGTGCCACTTTGTGCCTATCTACCCAGGCCGTATGTTTCTGTCCACTCACTTAAACTCAAGTTGCAATGTCCTTTTAGCATTCTCAGAATCCATTTTGTCTCCCACCTTACCCTTCTTTTATATCAGGGTACACTTGAGCTTCAGAACCTAAAAAGAAAAACAGCAACAAAAAAAAAATCAAAACCACCTTTAATTAAATTAGAAGTTGTAAGTTGCCTCCTAAGAGTACAGACTTCCATTTACCTGATGCCCCTTTGTTCTGGGAAGACCATCTGAATAGACAGCTGAGTTTCCCAGTTGTCAGTTAGCCCCCACCATTCCTTCTTAGGGAGATTTAATGCTCAGAAATTGCCTAAGACAGATGCTTCAGACCTGAAAGTCACATGGCTTGTGACCACAGAGACCAGGTCTGTCATCTAGCAGAGTTTCTGTCCTCAGTCGTGTTGTTTCTTTGGAAGATATGTGTTTTGTTTTTGTTGTTTGCTACAATTTGGACGTTTAAAAAGAAGCATGACTCTCAGACCTGGATTTTAGTTGGGTGTACCGAGAATTCATTATTCTCTTCACATAGTGCACAGAAAACACGGAGCTGCCATTCCACAAGACCTGCAGGCCAGCTGCTATGCAGACTGGCTGGCTGACCTGACCACGGGAGAAACAGAGAAACTCACTGGACTTTGGGAGCCCCTCTCTGGGCTCAAGCTAGACTGCATCACTCAGAATGTCCTGACTGAGGACACGTAACTGAGTCCCTGGGCCCAGAGGAACAAAGGCCCTCCCTGTGGTTGGAATTCAGTGTTCTCCTTTCCTGCTGTATGCCATCTGGAAAAGAAGACTTAGGCTGGCATTCATCTGGGCAGAGGGGCTCTGGCCACTCTCTCCAGGGCTCACCAGGCAGTGTTCTCTCTGCTACCCAGCTTGGCTGAGAATGGAGGGAGTGGTGCTGAGGAACATTCCAGGCCCACTTTTCCTTCCCTCTTGGGGATTTCCTCTCTAGCATTGATTTATCAAACTACCCAGTGCTGGGTGGGCACAAAGTGGGAGTGTAGACACTCCCCAAGGAGTCTTCTCATGCTCTTGGGGGAGGGGGTGGCCCAATATATGATGATATCAGTTCCCCCTAAATTAATCTATAATTTCACTGTAATCTCAATAAAAATTTCAGCTATGTACACTTACTCTGAAATGTGTGAGAAGAAATAAAGGTCTGCGGATGCCTAAGTAAAATGAAGGTGGGCAGGCAACTTGCATACTACAATGACAATGTCTTAAAAACAAACAAAAAACCAATATGGTTTTAGTGAAAGAATAGACAAGCCATTGGGACAGCGTGGAGAGTTCAGAGTTGGACCCTGGTTATAAGGGAGCTTAATATGTGATAAATGGTGCATCACAAGCCTGTGGGGAAAGAGTTGTTGTTCTCATTGGGAAAACTCTGACTCACTTTACAGAGAAAAATGATATTATCCCATATAAGGTGGATGCTCAGATAGTGGATTAAAGAATCCATGTGAACGGCCAAATTATAACATCGATAGGAAAAATATGAAGCAGAACATCTTTGAGACCCAGAGGGAGGAAAAGATTTCTTAGACAAAATATCAAAGCAAAATCCATAAAGAAAAAATAAAAGGAGGGGGGACTTGATATTATGCTGAAATTAAAAGTATCTGTTCCAAATGACACACGACAAAATGAGAGAAGATATGTGCAAAGTCTAAAATTAAGATTAGTAGAGTCTCAATTAATAAAGAACAACAGCAAATTAACAAGAAATAAATGGATAAAGGATATGGGCAGGCAGTTTTTGGAAGAGGAAATCCTAAAGCCAAGAAACATATGAGGAGATGGCAAAAATCATTAGTAGAGAAATGCACAATATAATAAGATATCCAAATAGACTTTTTTCCAAAGAAGACAAACAAATGGCCAATAAGCACATGAAAAATGCTCAACATTGCTAATCATTTAGGAAATACAAATCAAAACCACACTGAGATACCACCTTGCACCTATTAGGATAGCTACTGTCAAGAAAATAGAAAAAAACAAGTGTTGGTGAAAATACGGAGAAATTGGATCCCTGGGGCGCTGTTGGTGGGAATGTAAAAATTGTACAGCCACTGGGAAAAGTGTATGGCAGTTCCTCGAAAAATGAAGAATAAAATTACTACATGATCCAGCAATTCTAATTCTGGGCATGAGTGCTGTGAGTGTGGCATCTGGAGAGAGAGAAAGGAGGGATTGATTAGTTCTGCCTGACAGGGAGCCTTGCCTTTATATTAGTAGTGAATGCCTTTTAAGGTGAATGCCAGGAAGCCCAGCTCCAACTGGTTTTTTGTGTTTAGCGTTTTTTTGAACAAAGAGGATTTCTTCACTCAAGTGACTGAAAAGTCCCGAGGTAGCTTTCAGGCGCAGAAGGACTCAGGTGTTCCAATAATGTCATCATGCCTTTCCGATCTGCTCCCCGCTAGGATGGTTTCATTCTTAGGCCGAGCCCCTTGGGGGACAACTGTATACTCTCCAGCTAACAAATCCAGAGGTATGGGCATCCCTTTCCCAGAGATTCCCACAAAAGCCCCAGAGCTGATGCTCTTTGGCCCAGAAAGAGTCACATACCCATGCCTGATCCAATCTCTAGGACTCTGATGGCCAAACCAGGGTGGCACGGCTGCCTGGGTCGGTGGGGGAACTCTGGCCCGGGGAATGACACGAGCCGAAAGCCCAACCACATGAAGCTGGAACAGCAGAGCATGGAGTTCCCTGCTGCCCGGCAATTCTAGGGCAGTGGGCACCATCAGAGTCTCAGCTTGGGGTGGCGTGGTCGGCATGATCTCATCTGCAGTTTGCAGGCTTCGCTTGGCAGCTGGTGGTAGGTGGCCTGCGGGGAGCAGTGACATTCAGGCCTGCCAGCATTTCCTCCAAGAAAGAAAGTGCTTCATGAAGTATCTCCCTCTAGACCCTTCTTCCTGCCAAAGGGTCCCTTTCCTGGCGAGTAAAGAGGCAGCATTCTCAAGATTTCAACACAAATGGCTGGGGAGGGCCCTCTTGGGGTCCTGGGTCATTGCATGAAAGAGCTCATGTGGAGGCAAATTTATATAATCAGTTGCCAGAAAAGTACTTAACTGGCTTGTATTCATCTGGCACCAGGCTAGCTGTGGGGACAAAATGGTCACACTCCCGCAACGAAAACCCTTTCTGGGTCAGTCCCGGGACCTGGGGATTCTCCAGCACTTAACTACCAGCCTTTCGGCCCCACCTGGCCCACAAGCAGCTGGTGAGCAGATGCTGGCATTGTCTCTGGGGTCACTGGGAGCCAGGCTGGGCTGGGCAGGGCCATGGTGGGGGCAGCGTGGGGGTTCTGAGGGTGGGGAATGGCCTTCTTTAATGCCACCCCCACAGTTCCCCCCACAAACCACTCCTCCCCACTGCCTGGGGTTTTGAATGCAGTTCTCCGCCTCTTTCTGGCTGTGGTGGGCAGTGTGGTTATGTCACAAGCAGCTTGCCGCACAGGGGTGAGCCGCAGCTGTGTGGACACAGTAGGCAGCCTCGCTTTTCCCCAGACTGGGGCTGCTTGGTGCTGGTCTGCACCTGCCTCTGGAGCAGGACCTGGAGCAGAGGGAAACACGTGGATTAGTTAGAACGCTTTCAGCTGCAAGGAATGGAAGGCTCACCTTGAAGAGGCTTAAACAATAAGGAAGACGTGCCTCTTATACAAAGAGAGCCCAAGGTATGACAGGCCGGGGCTGCTTGGCTCAGTGCTACAATGACATCAACAGAGGCCCAGGCCTCTTCCACCTTTTGTGCTGCTCTGTTCTCCATTCTCAGCCTGTTCTGTTCTCCGGCCAGCTTCCCTCATGATCACACGATGGCTGCCACCGTTCTAGTCATCACATCTAGCAGAGGAGACTACTTCTTCCTGGATATGTCTTTTTAAGAGTGAAGGAGTGTTCCCCAGAATTCCCCTAGCAGCTTTTTCGTCTAGCTCACTGGCCAGAATTGCCACACACCATTCTTGGTCAATCTCCAGCAGAGGGCACAGGAAAACCATGACTGGGTTATGTGTTCTCCCCTAGTAACACAGGATTATAATACTCCAGGGGCATCTGCTGCACCAGGACACAGAGGTTCTTCCCACTCACAGACCAGTGAGAGGGGACTGGAGTTCTATTCCTGTTTCCTCTGTCAGTCCCTGTCTGACCCTGGACAAGCCACATTGCCCTGTCGGTCCCCTACTTTCAGGCATTCTCTCCTCACACCTTGCTGACACAACTCTGATTTGGCTTGGTGGCAGTGTGCCCAGCCAGGGAACGGCTCATGACTGGGGAAACAGCACTTCTGCCTACTTGCCTGGTTAGGCTCCAATGCAACTAGGGGTAACCACGTGACCTACTCCCAGGCAGGGAGGAAGAAGGGCTCTGCTGGGATCCTTCTGGGAGACCTTCTGAAAGGAAAGCCACCTCCCTTTTACTCTTGTGTCCTCCCTTCTTTCCAGTTTTAGTTGCCATTGAATGAGGATGTGACGTTTGGAGCTTTGGCAGCTATGTTGCACAATGAAGAAAATACCAAGAAAAATCTGAGACTTACCAACCTCATGCTTTG